GGAATCCTTTCTATTCGAAATTGGTAGGGCAGGAGCCGTAGTGCCCAAGCCTCGGCACGGGTAATTGCTCTCCTACTCATTCTGTGCTGTCCACCAAAGATAAACTCGTTAGCCTCCGAATCAGTTCTTATTGTGAACTGTTTGCTGGTGAGATAGTACATAAAGCGTTCCACTCCCCATACGATTGCTAGAGCTTCCCTCTGGGTCTGTGGATACCTTTGCTCGGCTACAGTAAGGGCTTTGGATGCGCACGCTATTATACGCGGATCTCCTGAGCGACTGAATTGGACGAGAACCGCACCTATACCAACCGATGATGCATCTACATAAAGCTCTGTTTCTTCTCGATGGTCGAAATATCCCAGCTTAACGACTGATGCCAACGCTTCTTTCTTTAGATACGTAAACTCTTCTTCTTCCTCTTGCGTCCAATAGAACACCTCAGATTTTGTAAGTGATCTTAGTTTTTCGGTCTTCTCTGCTCTGTTCACAATGAATCGCTCCGTGAAGTTGATCAGGCCTAGGAAGCTTTTTACTTCCGGTATAGATTCCGGTCTACGGAAACTTTCAATGGCCTTCCGTTTTTCATCGTCTATGCTCCACCCATTATTGGATAATCGAAATCCAATAAACTTCACGCACTGCTTCCCGAACACGCATTTCGCTGTATTTAGCACCACGTTATGTTCGCGCAATCTACTAAGGACGATTTCTAGGTTTTTGTCGTGTTCCGCCTTTGTCTTTCCCGAATACCAGAATATCATCCAAGTAATTGACCACTCCTGGACAGTCTGCAAGGACTACAGTCTGCAAGATCTCTTGGAAAATGTCAGGTGAATTGCACAATCCAAAGGGAAGCCGTTTAAATCGGTAAGTTGCATCTCCCGCAAAGAAGTTAGTTAAGTGTCTACAATCGTTGTGCAATTCCACGTGAAAAAACGCGCTTGATAAATCGATCGTGGAGAACCATGTAGCTCCATGTAAAACCGATACGATAGCCTCTAGAGTAGGCATTTTGAAAGGCGATCTTATAATACATTTATTTGGACCTCTCAAGTCGACAACTAATCTTATATCGCATTTTCCTTTTGGTACAACCAAGAGGGATGAACAGAAGGACTTGTCCATGTCGCTTGAAACTCTTTCGATTATGTCGGAGGTTAGCAGCTCGCTGAGTCTACGGCTGGTTTCCTCCTTGAACGCTGGAGGTATGTTGGTGTAGACGTGTCTTGACGGAGGCATACTCTTATCGTACGCCAGCAATACTGGAGGTACGTTGAATTTGGGAAACCGCTCCGGTGTGCTGATACCGCACATATCGCCTAGCAGCTTGAGAGATTTGCCTTCAAAAGCAGGTTCCTCAATTGGTACGTTTAAGCCCATCTTTAGCAGGCTGTATCTTAACGCTGTACTTCTGCCTAGAAGAGGTTTAGCGTCTTGGATAACATAAAATTTTTCCAATAGTCTTGGACGGTCTGGGGTGACGAATAACTCTGCAACAAATGTAGCAGATACCGGAATCGCAACCGGAGATGCATATGCTTTTAAAAGTCTATCCGTTCCTTTCTTAAAACTGAATATAGGGCTCTTAAGTGGGTCGTTATTCATTAACGCTTCAAGAACCTCCATACCAACCGTATTCACATCAGCCCCAGAATCTATCATAAACGTTACCCGTACTCCAGCAACATGACCAATTATGTTACCAGCACTGTTGTCCAACTTGCGATGAAAGTTCATTGAATTCATCATGAGCACGTCACACACCCCACTTTCTGAGTTGGTTTCACAGATCTGATGGTCTTCTGTAGGTGAGCTATTTGCGGCTTCAGTTAACTGACACTGTTGAAGGATAGTATCGGTATTGACGACCACCCCGTCGATTCTATCGGAATGCACGAGATGAGACACGGTTGCACACTGTAAATAACATACATTGTAGATCTTTACTTATAAGCGCTCAGTCAACTCTTGTTAAACGTGTTTTCACGACATTAAATAACCTCAACTTCAAGGATGTTACGTATAAAATCCGGAAGTGAAAATCTGAGCAACTAAAATGAAGTATTTCTTACAACTTGTCTTAAAAGGAGCTACTTATGACTAAAGGATAAGAGAAGGTTAACCATGTATCATCTTTTTGGTAAATTGGATTCTGATGTAGCTTTGCTCATTATCTGGCTCTTTAGTTGAATCGATCCTAAATTATTTAAGTTATTTCGAACTTAAGTTACGTTAAACAAGATTTGGCTGGCATTAGAAAGAAACTGAGAAGTAATAGTTCGTTTAGTATCATTTATTCTGAGTATAACAACAAAGTGTCAAAATAAAGGTTAAAGTTCAATTCAATATGAAGTTTAAAAATTACAGCCACTCTAGGTTCTTTATGTGTTCTAAGCTCTGTTAAATTAGTTCACTTACTGGTTTCACCTCTTCGTTATCGTCATGCTTGATATCTTCATCGTCAATTGCAGCAATCCTCCGCATTTTCGAGTCCGGGACTAAGTCCGAGCTTCCAGATGCCAATCGTTTTGATGGTACCAAGGTACATGCCCGTTCAATGTGGCCTTTAATTTGGCAACGGCGGCAAACCTTATCATTTGCATGGCAGTTATGCGGTAAGTGAAAGTTGCTACCGCATCTCCAACAGGGGGTTCGTGAACCATAATGTTCTCTATCAACACGAGATAGGGACCCACGTGCTCGTGATCCACTTCGTGCACGATAAAAACTTCCTCTTCCACGATAATTAGGTGAGTGTCCGTAGTTGGTGGCAGCGTATGAAATTGCAGCGACATTCACTTTCGGTTGTTGGTGATTCTTTGTGTACAGTTCTTCGCTTTGACGTTCTATTTCGGCCGAACGAACCTTATCGAGCAATTCCGTAATGGTGCCTCCTTTTCGCAAAATTTTTCTGCCAGCTTCTCTAACCTTAATATTGAGTGCATGAGACTGTACGACGTCCGCTACTGTTTCCTATTATCTGTTCGCTGCCATAGTCGCACAGCTTTGCCACGGCGGCTATACGCTTCACGAACGCTACATCAGTCTCGTCAGTACACTGGGTCATCGATCGTAACTTTTGGCGTTGAAGAAGAATGTAGTCTCGGGAACCGTAAAACTCTCTTAAACGGAACATAACGTTCGAGTACGGTAGGATTTTCTCGTCGGGGGCTTTGGTACTAGACACAGTATTCTCCAAAACGTCAATAAGCTTCGCTCCTGCTTTCATACGAAAAACACTAACAATCCCGTTATGATTTTTCCGAGTTTTTCTCAGTAACCCTCTCATCTTTCTTTACGAGCTTCTCGAATTCAATCATATTTTTCTTGCTATCCCTCTTGATCCCTACAGTACTTACGTTTAGGTTTTGTAAATTTGGTTAAATTATGACCAATAGAAAAATTATATCAATAATAGATGTCCTAGGCATTGCATCAGCTGTGGTTATTTTGAAAACATTCTTCTACCTGGATATGACGCTCTTAAACGAGCTTTCGCCTGCTCCTTCTAAATTTAGTGCTCTTGAAGCATATCCACAGTTATTAATTGAAATCTTTCCAAGCCAAGCAATGCATTTGTATATTTTGTGGCAAGCACAATTATTCTAAATGGTGAGTTAGATAAAAATGGCACACACATAAACAGCTGTAACTTTTTAACTATAACACCAAATGGCTTTACATTTTCAGTGACGATTTTCTAGTCCATAACGTATACATGTAATTTTAATAGGGGTTTGAAAGGTGATTTATCTCGACTATTAATCATGGGAACATAATGCTGTATAAACAAATTTGAAATCAGTGGCTACGCAAGTAAATTCTTTCGTCATTGTTGATATTGACTAATGGAACGAAACCAATTGTTATGGCAAATATTATATTTCAAAATATTGTGCATATTGATTTTCAGAAATTACACTTTAAAATGTCGGCTTATTTTGACTCACACACTTTAAAGATTCATAATCCGTTAGTAAATTAAAGAAAGGACGCAAAAAAAGATGTAAAAAATTGCAAAATGTATAAGCAAGTAAAAGCTCGTATTTGAATCATGGTATATTTTTACTTGTTCTCTCTAAAGAATCTCCTCTGAAAATTTAAAGTTATTTGGTATAATAGTTAGAAAGTTACAGTGGTTTATGTGTGTGCAATTTTTTTCGAATACATCCTTTATATGCCCAGAGAAGTCGAAAAAATATCCAACCTGAAACATTTCCTCGAATCGGACCCGTCGCCTTCGGCTTGGTAATACAGTGCCTTTACCAACCAGGCTATCGCGGAGGCCTGTTTTGCATACAATTACTCATAATTAAAAATTATACAATTAACCCAGTGAAGCCGTTTACACAAACTAACCGATATTTCACACGCAACCCCATTGAGAAGCTGAATCTAATGGGAAGAAGAAAAAGAAGACGCAACAAACAAAAACACGCTAGACTCCTAATGTCACAAAAACCATTCAGACGCTAATCTAGATCAATCTACCCAAGACTGTGCCAAGGTCGAGCAAAGGTCAGTGCCCCGATGTAACTGGAGGGGGATGCCATAAAATGCTATCCCTACTGAAACTAGCACGACCTTACATAACACGGAAATGCGTTTTGCTTTTATATTTTTTTTTTCAAACTGAATACTTATTTAGAACTTTCTCAAAAGTAAAGCTTTATTTCAAGTCATGCTTTATAAAAGCAGAGGTGCATTAGCATGCATTCACTTGTTGGCAAATGCAGTGGCATTTTTGTTTACGTTCTGCATTTTTCAACAGCTGCATTCTTATAGCGGTCAACCATAAAAGCGTGCCATAATCGCCTGAATGTCGACAAAAACAAAGCAACTGCGCAGGTCCGCAAACCGATGCACACTTTGATAACAACTGTGAGTCAGAGTAGGTCGGGAAAGCCCCGTCGTGCCATCCTGCTCGGTAGTCGGAAAATCCACGACCAACATCGGCACTATAGTCAGACCATCCAGTATCGATTGGACATTTTCATTTCTGCCGTCATCAGTGCTGCATCGCGATCGTACATCCTCTGCCTCCCATAAAACATCAGACTAGCACCAGAAGCAGAAGCTTTTGTTCTCTGCCACCCAAGGCTTTTCCGGAAAGGGAGTCTTTTCCCTTGGCCGAATAGCAAGTAAGAAAGGTCCCGGTACGAACGCGTTCGCTGTAGTTGAGAGTATTTGAAAAATAATTACTGTGAAGCCGAGAACCTGCGAGTAAAGCGAAACCTACATCGGAAAGAAAATCGATAACGGAGGCTTCGCGAAAACGGGTGGCCAAAAGTCGGATTGGAGGCGTACTCGGAACAACGTTGTAACGAGAAACAAATTTTCCTATTATATAGGACGCAATCTAGACCAAATTTTTCTAGTTGTTAGTGTAGTTTTGAAAATAAATTATCACCGTATTTTTGTCAAACATCGGAAAGTTCGGTCGCAGTGTAGCCTCGAGACGGGCGTAAAAGTGTGAGAACAAAGATGATGGTCCTGTAGGACGACACGACTGACTAATAGCGAGGAGAATTCGGTAAAAATCCGCATACCGAAGCAACAAAAAGTAGGCTAAATCTATAACTTAAACTTAAAGCAAAACAGTATTTTTTTTAAAAAGATAGTAATTAATTTAAAAAAACAAAAATACAAACGAATATACCAGTTGAACAAAATTCGGTCGGGTGCGAAGGAGATTACATAAATTTAGGCGTGTGTAGGTGAAAAGTGAACGAGCGAACTACGAAAAAGTTTGATCAGTCGTCGTCGGGTGCAAGCTGCAACATTTTAGCATCTGCCGTCACGCCGCCTCAACAGACATCTAATCCAATGAAACCAAGTTTCAAAAACGGAAAATTCGCTACATCAATCTATGAAAAATGTCTCTGCCAAAAGAGTGGAATCTCCAGGTGAGTCTTGTTTTGTCTTCTTCCAAAAGTTGACACTTGAAAAGCACATGAACACAGGACACAGGCGATTACGAAATAGGTCGTGAAAATTTCGTTTTCCCCTTTGTCTTCATTTGATTCTTCACCTATCCCGACTCCCGACGATATGCGCGTTGGTGTCGGACTGTCTGTCTCTGTTTGTCGACTTGGCAGTCTGTTTGCGATAAACAGGTTTGCAGTTGCAGACAGACCCATCTGCGTGGAATGTCCTGTGCAGTAGTGTAAGGTTTTATATGCTCTATGCGGTTGACACACTTTCCAGTGAAATGTATAATTTTTTTTATTACTCATGCAGTTACCATGCAGGCAGTATAGAACACTGTCATTTGTTAAACTCGATTGTACTGATTCAACGCAGTAGTTTGGAATAAATTATGTACGTTTTCTATGTTTCTATACATTCAGATTATATGTGTCGAACTTATTATTGAATTTCAAATCATTTTAACAGCTTTCCAGTTCCACTAGCCGATGTAATAAGAAAAAACCTAGTAAAAATGTTGATCATAAGAATGGTATTACTTTATCATTTTTATTTTGGATTAGTTCCGAGATTTTAGTAAAAATTTCGAATGAAACATTACGGAATTGATGATGATGATGGTCCCACCTCTTACCCCTACAAAGGTTTGAGCTGGACGATTTATCTTTAAGATAATTAAATATGACAATTTAAACAGGTTTGAAAACAAAATCGAACTGGTTACAGTTACAGATATAAATTCCCTCTACAGTTCACAGTTGCTTCACAGCGATATAAATATGGAAAAGCTCAGGCGTCCACCTCTTAGTTTGCCTTTTTGTCCACCTAAAATATTCATAAATATTACAAGCAATCAAGAGTTAATGAACAAATTTTAAATTCAGTCCTCTATATCCGTAATACGCGCGCGAGGCTGAAACCTTTGTAGACTACTTTTTTTTTTATTTAATCTTCTACTATTAAATCAAATATTAAAAATCCATCATCACCATCGTGGCGAACAAAAATAGTTTTTGTAGTGCTACAATAATTATTAACAAGTCATTATGACAGCTACCCATACAAAATAATCCGTTAGAGATAACTTCGTCAAGATACATAATTTGTCAAGTAATGAAAAAAAAAAATCACTGGATAACTGTTCAAACGACACTTTTAACGTGTGAAATGCAGTGTGTTTTACATTCTGTAAATGTTGCTGAACGTTTGATATGTCTAGGCATCGAATTGAAAACCTTTTTTTCTTCTAAAATATAATGAATTTTATGAAGCACAAGTCAAGAAATGTGGTGTTCTTATTTGAACTGCGTTTCTAGTATTATTTATATGAAAGTCACTCCCTCTTTAAATTCAATCACACAAATATCGAAGAAGCAAACCATTAACTACTTTAAAAATGAACACCATAGTCAAATATACAATTCTTTGCTTCACTGACGACAACCATTGTAAGGCATCTAGCACCAAAGTTGAGGAAGTGAATCTATTACATCTCAAAATCAAACGCATTATTTTATTCTGCAAGCTCTCGATATTTGTGTTGCATTGGCTAAAAATAAAATGGAAGGGCAAAAGTCTAGATGAGGAGAGGTGATTGATTTGTATAGCAGTATTTTACTGGCAATAGTTAAATCGGTTTTCAGTCGACATAGAATTCCAAACTTCTTGGCAATTTTTTTTGATGAAATTGTCAATGTGAGAGTTGAACTTTAGTTTGTCATCAATAATCACGCCAAGATATTTAATCTCCCGAACACGATCAATAGTCTCATCATCAATTACAACAGAGACGTTCTCATTTAATCGATTCCGCGAAATTACCATAAATTTAGTTTTACTTGTATTCAATTTCAAATGCTTATACTTTAACCATCTACTTAGAGAAATTCATTCAAGTGTAAAACGGCATCATACAAATCTTTAGCTGCAATAAATAACACAGTATCATCTGCAAAAAGATTAATGTCGCAAAATCGTAAAACACGTCGCAAGCCATTAATATACATAATAAATAACAGGGGCCCTAATGCACTTCCCTAGGGCACTCCAAGGTTATTCTAAATGGGACTGGAAATAGAATCATTAAAAACAGTCCTTTTAGTTCTGTCAGACAAATAGCTTTCAAATCATTTATATTCAGTACTGAATGTATTTCATACAATATTTGATATATTCCATGAAATGTATCATAACTTTACATGATATATAATGTAAACTTAGATGATTTGTAAGGCTCCATTTACGTGCATCATATTTCACAGATATTAACACTACTTTTTTGAACTTGGTTGTAGACACATAAACCAAAAACTAAGCATTAACTATACAACAAAAATAAACCAATATTAAACAATTATTACAACATAAATTACAAATAATGAAAATGCAGTTAGAATCTTAAAACTATATCAGTTGTGCGACATCGTCGTTGATCATCACAGTCCTCGTCAAACGGTCAATAGCAACCGGAAACAAAAATGAAATCAGGTAACACAATTCCTACAGTCATCAGGAGCTATGACTCAAACTAGCGGGTGGCCTATTAGATTGCAAATACGTTTTTTTTTATAATGAATCACCCTAATGGACAGTGATGCACCTGGTCAAAACATTTCTTGCCTATTGTCCTGTGCACGGGTGAACTTTTGTTCATCTACTGAAAAAAATTGACGCAACAGCGGTGCCCTGTTTACTAAAAATGGACTCATGAAGAATGCTCGCGTAGCATTTAAAAATTGCCTATCAACCTCGCTATCAACCGAAGTCGCCCACGCAAACCAACAACACCATCGGGTAGGGTAAATTCTCCGCTTCCCGATAGTGCTCTTGGTTTGCGTGAGCGTTCTTCGGGTAGCGCTGAAAAAGGCCTATCAAGTTGTTTATAAAAGTTGGAAGGCCCTTTTCTAAAGTTACACGAGCATTACGTCATGTCAAGAACAACATGTGAAAAGGGTATACAAGCTTTTTGTAAACAAAACTTCTTATGCCCTTTTCTCGCCACCCATATGACACCCACGCAACCCATCAACATCACCGGGTAGGGTAAATTTTCTCCTTCCCGATGATGTTGTTGGTTTGCGTGGGTGACCTACGGTTGGCGAGAAAAGGGCCTACAAATGTTTGTTTACTAAAAGCTTGTATGCCCTTTTCACATGTGGCTCTTGATGTGTTCATTTTTAGTAAACACGGCACCGCTCAAACGTAATTTTTTTCATGCAGTTCATTCCATGCATTGGTCAATTGAGATTTTCAAGTCCTGTTTTGTTGGTGCGATATATGAGAGCGTGTTATAGTACGTTCAGACTACAGAGTTATAACATGTTATAGCGCTATCTTGATGGTGGTCTCTGTGTTGCAATTATCTGACAACCGTTATAACATGTTATAACTCTCCAGTCTGTACAGCGTTTTAATGAAAATCCGAGGAAAACACACAATAAATCACTGTCAAACTCATTTTGACAGATCTAATTTCATACATTTTTTAGGTTAGCCAGAGGAAAATAGTAAGCAACATTACACGGCGATGCACCCGCTAGTGTGCGTGCTTTAAACGTCAGTAATCGCTATAACAGCCGCATATTCGATTGAGGTGGAGTTGCAGAGCAGCCGCAGGGACACGAAAGATAAAAAAAAACCCGCACACTTCATTGCAGCGAGAGGTCATGCACTCCAAAAACTCGACACGTCATCATCATGTGTCTCCCACTTAATTTTGCACTCATTGTGAAACATATCCATTTCATGTGTGAATCTTATAGCGAATTCGTTTATTATTCAGTTCCAACCTGGATCGGGTATCAGGATTGGGTCTGCTTGTTTTCTGACAAACGTCAGTTTGCTCGTTTGTTTTTAAAACCTAGCTCAGGTCGAGGTTCGCACTGACAAAAAGTTCGGTTTCGCACTGGGTTGGAACTGGTTCCAACCCCGATAATAAACGAATTCGCTATTATAGTACGTGAGTAATGATTTCCAGTGAAAATTTGTCGTTTGAGTGCTCATTGCAAGACAGCCTATATTACATGATATCAGCCATAGTCTGAACGTACTGTGCTATGAAAATGCCTAAACACTATTGTTTTGAATTGTGACACACTTGGATTCTATGTGCCTCACATGGTGATATCAATAGCATTGCACATCATAGTTCAATGGTCTACAATATTCTATTTTACCGACTTCTCTAAAATGAATCGATAACTATATAAACAAAGCTGCCAGAGGGCACAGATTACGCATGTCTTTTTTTAATGCGTCTGATTTGGGATTCGGTCTTGGACTTTTGGGGTGTGCTGCTGCCGTTGTCTTAGTTCGATCTCACTGCACCACGGTTGTTCTCATATATGAGGCTGGTTCATAGGATGAAGTCACATCTCTTGTTTTCGATGTTTACCTTTCTGAGAAAGCAATTCACATTGCATTGAAATGCAAAACACTTTAAATCCGTCTGTTTTGAACAGTCATGTTATTCAATGTGTAAAACACTTGAATGACTTATGAAAGATTTTCAACACTGGTGTAATCAAGGGGTAGGTCACTCCGCACATCAATCTTGGGTCAACATTTTTCACAGTGTGCCGATTGTGCCGACAGCGCCGATCATAGAGCAAGCTGCAATTTTGTGTAAAATACGAATATTATGGTATATTTGGCAAGCCGGTATTTCTGACAGCTTGAATGTTTTGGTTTGCAATCGCAAGGATAACATCGGTCTAGCGACAACCATAAAGGAATGCCTACGAGATGGACCGTGAGAGGTTTCAGCCGTCCAACAGGACACAACAAAGAAAAATGCCGGAGAGCAACCGGAAGTGTCCCCGCATCGAAAACAGTTGGATGCGATAATTGAACGGCTCCGAAAATGGCGAATATCGTGCTTGATAAAGATTTCTTCTACTAAAGAATAAAACGCCTCTACGCCAACCGGAAGGAACCCAAAAGGAGTTTTCCCATGATGATTCGCTGTAGAAGGTGGATT